TATCATTTAGATATCCTATAATTTATTATGTAATTAGCTTTTGTGTAATGTTTGATGCATATATATTTATTTATATTTCTAAATTTTCTTCCTTTGTTTTGTTGTTTATAGATTCCTTTAATAGTGCTTTCTCTCATCGGCCTTTCAAATTGAATTATTGGCTCGAATTATTTTTCGTGTCACTGAGTTGCACAGCCCGCGTGGAAATAGTCAACTCTGGAATCACCCTTGCGGAATATGTACTATAACACAGATAAACCTTGGGAAAAGTTGTAACCAACCCAATACGAAATCCTAGAAAAACCATGGCTTAGGAACGAATACAAGACAGTTGCTAGGGCTGGCAGAACCATAGGACTTTAAAAAAAACAGTTTGCCAATATGTAATTTATTAATTTACGACTGCAAAAAAAGACTGGCAAAAGAGTGGACACAGGAAATACCCACTAATTTTAAATAAACAAAGCTTTAAAATATTGGGAAAATCTTACCTAAAGGTGTGCCTGGCACAAAAGTGGCAATTGAGTTGCACAAACAATTATTTTCTTTTTCTTCATTTAAACTTAACAAACCTGAAAAACCCTGGCTCAAAGCTTACACACACCTCAAACTGCAACAACCATGGCAAAATAATATTTTTCTTTAAACTTAAATTTCCTAGACTGTAAAAAGCCACTATCAACTTTTCACCAACCCAAAACTGTCATTACCACGGCAAAAGCATTTTTTTATTTAAATGATCTTTTAAAAACTGGGAAAAGCCAGTACCAACTTTTCACCAATCCAAAACTGTCATTACCGCGGCAAAAGTATTTTTTTATTTAAATGACTTTTTAAAAACTGGGAAAAGCCAGTACAAACTTTTCACCAATCCGAAACTGTCATTACCGCGGTAAAAGTATTTTTTTATTTAAATGACTTTTTAAAAACGCCAGTATAAACTTTTCACCAACCCAAAACTGTCATTACCACGGCAAAAGCATTTTTTTATTTAAATGATCTTTTAAAAACTGGGAAAAGCCAGTACCAACTTTTCACCAATCCAAAACTGTCATTACCGCGGCAAAAGTATTTTTTTATTTAAATGACTTTTTAAAAACTGGGAAAAGCCAGTACAAACTTTTCACCAATCCGAAACTGTCATTACCGCGGTAAAAGTATTTTTTTATTTAAATGACTTTTTAAAAACGCCAGTATAAACTTTTTACCAACCCAAAACTGTCATTACCACGGCAAAAGCATTTTTTTATTTAAATGATCTTTTAAAAACTGGGAAAAGCCAGTACCAACTTTTCACCAATCCAAAACTGTCATTACCGCGGCAAAAGTATTTTTTTATTTAAATGACTTTTTAAAAACTGGGAAAAGCCAGTACAAACTTTTCACCAACCCAAAACTGTCATTACCACGGCAAAAGCATTTTTTTTATTTAAATGACCTTTTAAAAACTGGGAAAAGCCATTACCAACTTTTCACCAATCCAAAACTGGAATTACAGCGGTAAAAGCATTTTTTTTATTTAAATGACCTTTAAAAAACTGGGAACAGCCAGTACCAACTTTTCACCAACCCAAAACTGTCATTACCACGGCAAAAGCATTTTTTTTATTTAAATGACCTTTTAAAAACTGGGAAAAGCCGTTACCAACTTTTCACCAATCCAAAACTGGAATTACAGCGGTAAAAGCATTTTTTTTATTTAAATGACCTTTAAAAAACTGGGAAAAGCCAGTACCAACTTTTCACCAACCAAAAACTGTCATTACCACGGCAAAAGCATTTTTTTTTATTTAAATGACCCTTTAAAAACTGGGAAAAGCCATTAGCAACTTTTCACCAATCCAAAACTGGAATTACAGAGCAAAAGCATTTTTTTATTTAAATGACCTTTAAAAAACTGCGAAAAGCCAGTATCAACTTTTCACCAACCCAAAACTGGAAATACCGCCGCAAAAGCATTTTTATATTATGAATGACATTTTAAACACTAGGTAAAGCCAGTATAAACTTTTCACCCATCCGAAAGTGGCATTACCGCGGCAAAAGCTTTTTTTTATTTAAATGACCTTTTAAAAACTGGGAAAAGACAATATCAACTTTTCACCCACCCAAAACTGTCATTACTACGGCAAAAGCATTTTTTTATTTAAATGACCTTTTAAAAACTGGGAAAAGCCAGTACCAACTTTTCACCAATCCAAAACTGTCATTACAGTGGCAAAAGCATTTTTTTTAATTAAATGACCTTTTAAAAACTGGGAAAAGCCAGTACCAACTTTTCACCAATCCAAAACTGTCGTTACCGCGGCAAAAGCTTTTTTTTTATTTAAATGACCTTTTAAACACTGGGAAAAGCCAATACCAACTTTTCACCAATCCAAAAATGTCATTACCACGGCAAAAGCATTTTTTTGTTTAAATGACATTTAAAAACTGGGAAAAGCCAGTACCAACCTTTCACTAATCCAAAACTGTCATTACCGCGGCAAAAGTATTTTTTTTATTAAAATGACTTTTTAAAAACTGGGAAAAGCCATTAGCAACTTTTCACCAATCCAAAACTGTCATTACCGCGGCAAAAGTATTTTTTTTATTAAAATGACTTTTTAAAAACTGGGAAAAGCCAGTATCAACTTTTCACCAACCCAAAACTGGAATAACTGCCGCAAAAGCATTTTCATATAATGAATGACATTTTAATCACTGGGTAAAGCCAGTATAAACTTTTTATCAACCCAAAACTGGAAATACCGCCGCAAAAGCATTTTTATATTATGAATGACATTTTAAACACTAGGTAAAGCCAGTATAAACTTTTCACCCATCCGAAAGTGGCATTACCGCGGCAAAAGCTTTTTTTTATTTAAATGACCTTTAGAAACTGGGAAAAGACAATATCAACTTTTCACCCACCCGAAACTGGCATTACCGCAGCAAAAGCATTTCTTTTATTTTAAATGACCTTTAAAAAACTCGGAAAAGCCAGTATCAACTTTTCACCAACCCAAAACTGTCATTACCACGGCAAAAGCATTTTTTTATTTAAATGACCTTTTAAAAACTGGGAAAAACCAGTACCAACTTTTCACCAATCCAAAACTGTCATTACAGTGGCAAAAGCATTTTTTTTAATTAAATGACCTTTTAAAAACTGGGAAAAGCCAGTATAAACTTTTCACCAATCCAAAACTGTCATTACCGCGGCAAAAGTATTTTTTTTATTTAAATGACTTTTTAAAAACTGGGAAAAGCCATTACCAACTTTTCTCTAAACCAAAACTGTCATTACCACAGCAAAAGCATTTTTTTATTATGAATGACATTTTAAACACTGGGAAAAGCCAGTACCAACTTTTCACCAATCCAAAACTGGAATTACAGCGGAAAAAGCATTTTTTTTATTTAAATGACTTTTTAAACACTGGGAAAAGCCATTACCAACTTTTCACCAACCCAAAACTGTCATTACCACGGCAAAAGCATTTTTTTATTTAAATGACCTTTTAAAAACTGGGAAAAACCAGTACCAACTTTTCACCAATCCAAAACTGTCATTACAGTGGCAAAAGCATTTTTTTTAATTAAATGACCTTTTAAAAACTGGGAAAAGCCAGTATAAACTTTTCACCAATCCAAAACTGTCATTACCGCGGCAAAAGTATTTTTTTTATTTAAATGACTTTTTAAAAACTGGGAAAAGCCATTACCAACTTTTCTCTAAACCAAAACTGTCATTACCACAGCAAAAGCATTTTTTTATTATGAATGACATTTTAAACACTGGGAAAAGCCAGTACCAACTTTTCACCAATCCAAAACTGGAATTAGAGCGGAAAAAGCATTTTTTTTATTTAAATGACTTTTTAAACACTGGGAAAAGCCATTACCAACTTTTCACTAACCCAAAACTGTCATTACCACGGCAAAAGCATTTTTTTATTTAAATGACCTTTTAAAAACTGAGAAAAGACAATATGAAATTTTCACCCACCCGAAACTGGCATTACCGCAGCAAAAGCATTTCTTTTATTTTAAATGACCTTTAAAAAACTCGGAAAAACCAGTATCAACTTTTCACCAACCCAAAACTGTCATTACCACGGCAAAAGCATTTTTTTATTTAAATGACCTTTTAAAAACTGAGAAAAGACAATATGAATTTTTCACTTACCCGAAACTGGCATTATCAAGGCAAAAGCATTTTTTTATTGTAACTGACCTTTTAAAAACTGGAAAAAGCCAGTACCAACATTTTACCAATCCGAAACTGTCATTACCGCGGCAAAAGTATTTTTTTTATTTAAATGACTTTTTAAAAACTGGGAAAAGACAATATCAAATTTTCGTCTGTTCAAAACTGGAATTACAGCGGCAAAAGAATTTTTTTTATTTAAATGTCTTTTTAAAAACTGGGAAATGACAATATCAATTTTTCACCTATTCAAAACTGGAATTACAGCGGCAAAAGCATTTTTTTAATTTAAATGACCTTTTAAAAAGTGGGAACTATTTATAATAAAAAAAGACTTTGTGTTATAAAATTGTATTAATATTTTGTAAATTTTGTGATTGTCAACAGTGAATGATTTACTTAAATAATAAATTAAATAATAATTTATTCAAAATTTAAATTTGTAATTTTTATTTTTATTAATCAGCGATTTATTTATCACTGGTATTAAAATATTATCAGAATTAAACGTAATTATTAGAATTAATAGAAAATATATTAATTAATAATAATAATAATAATTTTTCAAATCTTAAATTGTGTCTTCATCTTCATCATCTTGTTCTTCTCCTTCTTCCTCCTCTTCTTCAGAAGAGGAAGACTTTTCTTCATTTTCACTCTCTTCTTTATTCTCCTCTTCTTTTTTCTGACTTTCTTTCTCATCTTTTTTCTCTGCTTTTATTTCAGGTTTATTTTTAGGGTGTCGAAGCGTGCAACACTGATTATTCAAGACCTCTATGTACTTTTCATAAGTATATTTTTTATTCTTCCCCTTAATATAATCTATAGTGAAAAATATTTTATGTATAAATATATAGAACAATTAAATTCATAAATATTTTACAATTTTAGATGCAATCTTTCAATTTTAAACGGATATTTACTATAGACTGCGTTTCTTATGAATACAGGAATGGCTTTTCCGGGTCTTCCTTTTCTGCTGTGTCCGAGCGCTGTCATAGTTTTCAGTTCCTCTGGTCCAACTAATTCGAGCATGAGCCTCCTTATCCCGGGTAGCAATTGAAGTCTGGATCAGGTCTGTAACTGATCTGGTTAGATCTGGGCCAGATCTGGTAACCAAGTCTGTGCCAAAGCTGGTTTGAAACGCGGAACATGTCTGAAACGTGTATATAACCAGATTTGATTTTCTCTGTTGTTCGTATGGTAACAAGGCGTTCGACAGTACCTAGCGTGGGTTCTTGCTTTTTTCTGGTCATTGCTTTGCTGTTTATTATAATAGCTTTGCTTTTTGTAAAATTTGTGTTTTTAGTTGAAAATATATTTAATTTAAATACAATAATAATATTTTCATCTTTTGCAATTAATAAAATAGGCATTTTTCAAATGAATAAGATTGTTTTTAAATAAATTACAAAAAGCAAAATTTAAGTTAAATTTAAATGTTTTAAATTGTTTATTTTTTAATTTTTTTCAATTTTTTTTTCATTTTAAGCTGGAAGAACTACTTAAATACACACTCCTAAACACAGTATTTCATTTTTTTTATTAAAGTCGTAGATTATAATTATATTAAGAAAATTCCTAAACGCAGGGATTCGAGCACCTAACTATATATCGCAACGCAGGTTTTGGTGACGTAGGGGACGCAAGATAAAACGCTTTAACCGCTCGACCATCTCGGAGGTCTGAGAATCTGGGCTTAGAGAAAAATTGCATTCAAAAAGCAGAGCAAATAGACTCTCTTTCTCTCTCTCACTTACTGAAACCCGAAAGAAAAGATAGTTAGAACCCCTGCGGTTCAGGGTTCTTTACGCGCTCATACTACGTTTGGGAAATTCCCAAAAGTTGTTTATATAGTACATTTTCAGATTTCTCGGTTTTTAATTTGTAAGCATAAATTACTTGTGTAGAGTAATAATTACAGAATTTATTTTAAATACAGGGATTTGTTTCCGAGTAAATATTTTCGAATATTAGGTTAAATAATTATAAATCTGAATTCAGTCCAATAGATACATTAAGTAACCAACTGTTTAGTAAAGTAATTTTAAAAAGCATACAGAAGGAAATGTTTTGCATTATAAGGGTCATAAAATATAAATATTCGTGAAACGACAAGAACAATTATATTTTAATTGTGCTTTCTAAATTTGAATCAGTTAAAAATCACTGGGTTAACTAACAATAAATGACTGACATTTTACTTCTGCAATCAGTTAAAATTAACTTATTGTCAATGACAAAATTAATGGTTATCAGTAAAAAACAACTAAAAATTGGTCAAATTTTATCAATATTTCAGTGTATTACAATAATTATTATTATTATGAATAAATATTCGGTATTTTATAGTATATAATGAAAAAATTAATATTATGAGCTACTCATTAATTAATCTCATTAAGCTTAATTAATAATTCTTATTTAATTATAATTGAATCAGTTAAATGAGTGTACTAAAATATCAGTTATTTTTAACTGACAATCAGATATGCTTTTCTGAAAATTAGTTATTTTTAACTAATTCAAATATAGAGAATGATCATTAAAATAGTAAAGAGAAATTTGTAGCAGTACAAAGTTAAAATTTCGGTTTTCTCTTAATATACTTCTGTACGTCGCTATCCTTATTTTCCTACCTGTTCAAGGGCTCAATCGGTTTCACCTTACCGACTTTTCATTATTTGTGCAATTGGTTTAGTAGTTTTGGTACCTGCATATAGATAGAGCTGTTTAATTGGTTACCAAGTCTGCTTCTGGTTTGGACCATGTAAAATTCCAGATCCGTTCCAGATCTAGAATAACAGGTCTGCATCAGATCTGTACTCTGGTAGCGACTTGGATTTTGCTACCCGGGATCATTTCTTCTGGACGTGATTTAAATCTTGTTATTTCAGCTTCTCTTCTCGGATTTAGATACAATTCATCATTTCTTATTTCCGCTATTTTCATATTATCTTGTCCAGAGAAATTCGATCCCTTAAATAAGAACAAATTTGTTTTTTAATTTGTATATATACACAACATAACATATATTAATATATATTCTTATTCAAGAACCTGAAAGTAATTGGAAGTATTTTTTCCTTCTAGTTTTCCACGAAGAGCGCCAGCTATAGTTTCAATAAACACAACGGTTTCCTCAGACACTAAAAAAATATTGTTTATTAGTTTTAAAATTTTGAAATTGTAAAATATAGTCTTATAAAAGAAAATATATTTTTATTAATTTACCAGTTTAAAATTTCAATTATATTTTTTTAATTCATTATATAAAATTGTAAATAAAATAAAACTTAGCAAACCGCTTGGAAAAAAAATCGTGGTTCCTTGAGACGTTCTTTTTTGGTCGTTAACATTTTCCAAATTTGTTGATGCAGAATTGTTAGAAGTTGATGCAGTAATTGATTGGTTAGTCGTTTTAGATGTGTCTTTGATTTCAGTGTCAGCTGTAGTCAACTTTTCAAGAGCAAAATCTGGAGCTTCTTCTACTTTTTTCTGATTATCGGTTTTTTTTGATGATTCAGCAGGCACTTTATAAAAAAACGAAATTTTTTTGGTTATATAATATTTTAAAATAATGTTTTTATTATTTAAATAATTAATTATTAATAATTATTATTACTATATAAAAATTAATCAATGAAAAAATAATAAAATATTTTTAAAGGCAAAGTTTATGCATATGTCGATTCCAGAAAATTTTGCGGAAATAGTTTTAAATGGAAATACTTTTTAAATTATATAAAAAAAATCTGTATAGTTTAACAGTATTTTTAAAGTTAATTGAAATAAATTACAATTTTGATTTTTCAAGTTATTAGCAACATTTCGCAGTCTATCATTCCTTGGCAAACTTTTCACTTGAGCCGATTTTTTAGGTAACTTTGCAGGGGGAGGAATTTCTGGATCCGCAATTTTTACAGTTTTTCTCTCCGCGACCGGTTTAGTGTTTCCTAAAAAGATTCGAAAAAAATTTAAAAAAAACTTCTTTAAATTCACATTATAATAGTTATTTTTGAAGAACTGAAAAACTAGACTTTTAAAAATAACGTTTTCAGAATTTAGTATGAATTAAATTACACTTAATAATAAATTGTAATTACTTTTATTTCTCGACGAAACAGTAGTTGTTGACTGCTTATCACGTTTAGATGCTCCTTTAGTCTCTGTAGTGTCAGCTTCAGTCAATTTTTCATCGTCGAAGTCTCGATCTGATGCAGAATTTTCCTCATCTGTCATATCGTCGGTTATTTTCGATGATGTTTCTGGGTCAGTAACTTGTGACGATTTTCCAGCAGTAACCGGTTTAGTTTTACCTAATGAAATTAAAAACATATTAGAAAATTTCTTTTTAAAAAAACATTTATGCATAAATAATTTCAATTTATTTCAATAGAAGTTCAAGTCAATTTTTCATAGAGCAAAATCTGGAGCTATTATTGCTTTTTTATTTTGGGTTATTTTCGATAATTAAGCAGCCATTTTTTTAAGAAATGTAATTTTTTTGGTTATATAATACTTATAAATTAATGTTTATATTCTTTAAATAATTAATTTATTATTACTACAATAGAAACTGATAAATTGAAAAATATAAAAGTATAAAAAAAATATAAAAAAATATAAAAAATATTTTTAAATGGAAAAGTTTATACATCTCTAAATTCCAGAAAATTTTGCAGAAATAGTTTTAAATGGAAATAATTTTTTTAATTACATAAAAAATATCTCTAGTTTGATAATATTTTTTTAAAGTTAATTGAAATAAATTACAATAATTTTGATGTTTCAAATCATCAGCAATATTTCGCAGTTTATCATTCTTTGGTAAATTTTTGACTTGAGCCGATTTTTTAGGTAACTTTGCAGGGGGAGGAATTTCTGGATCCGCAATTTTTACAGTTTTTCTCTCCACGACCGGTTTAGTGTTTTCTAAAAAGATTCGAAAAAAATTAAAAAAGAACTTCTTTAAATTTACATTATAATAGTTATTTTTGAAGAACTGAAAAACTAGACTTTTAAAAATAACGTTTTCAAAAATTAGTATGAATTAAATTACACTTAATAATAAATTGTAATTACTTTTATTTCTCGACGAAACAGTAGTTGTTGACTGCTTATCACGTTTAGATGCTCCTTTAGTCTCTGTAGTGTCAGCTTCAGTCAATTTTTCATCGTCGAAGTCTCGATCTGATGCAGAATTTTCCTCATCTGTCATATCGTCGGTTATTTTCGATGATGTTTCTGGGTCGGTAATTTGTGACGATTTTCCAGCAGTAACCGGCTTAGTTTTACCTAATGAAATTAAAAACATATTAGAAAATATATTTAATTTTAATTATACTATAATTTTACTTAAATTAATTAACCGACAACAAATATTGTTATGAGTAATTAATTTTTTAAGTTATTTTTTTAATTACATTATAATTTTTTTAAGCTTTGAAAAATAAAATTATTTAATTATTTTGTTATTAGATCACTTTTTCCATTAAAAGGTTATACTGCTCTTAATTTTATTTCAATTATAATTAAATATATTTAAAAATTTTATCATCTTGAATAGTAATTTATTTTAATTTTAATTGTTTAAAATTTAATTGATTAATTTTTATTTTATTTCATTTGTAATTAAATATATTTAAAAAATGTTTCATCTTGAATAGTAATTTATTTTAATTTTAATTAATTAATTTTATTTTATTTCATTTGTAATTAAATTATTTAAATTTAAATTAAATTATTTAATTTTTTATTAATATATATATTTTTAAAATTAGTTTTTATTATTTTTTATTTATTTAACAATTCAATTTGATTCTATTTAACATTTATTACCTTCATTTGTAGTAGGAAAAACTGGAGGTAATTTGAAAATCACTTCGTTTACTTTCTCTTGTGCCTTCTTTTTTTCATTGTTGACCATTTTTGATTTTTCTTTAAAAATTTTCTTTTCCTTTGCTAATGTCGAACTATTCTCGGACTTTCGTTTGCCTTCTTTCAAAATTTCTCCAGTCTTTGTGACGTTCAATTTTTCAAGGTACTTTTTATCTTCTAAAAGTTTTAAAAAATTAACTTTTTAATGTTTACTTTTAACTAATTTTTACTGTATGAGAAAATAAATATAAATATTCGAAAATGTGTCATATTGTTCAAAACAATCAAAAGAATAAATTGAAGAAATAAATAAAATCTGAATTTATAAATAACTAAGAATAATTAATTGAAAATTTAGCTTTTTGAATCAATTTAAAAAAATTCGATTGTTAAATGATAATACTTTATAAAGAAAAAAATGTTATTTAAGTTAAAGATGTCATTTAGTCTGATATATGTGATAATAATTTCCTAAACTTACCACTTCTTTTGAGAAGGATTGCTGCATAATCCTTTCCATCGAAAGTCATCCAAATTTTTTCTCCTTCCTCCTTGATTTTCAAATTATCGTCTTGTTCGACAACACTTTTATTTTTTTCTTTCTCCCAAAATAGAAGGCAATACATTTTTGCTATTCGATTAGGATAAAATAATCCTAATTAATTCTTTATTAGAATAAAATTTATGTCTTTACCATCTGACACGAACTGACAGATTGTAATGAATAAAAAAAGAAACACAGTTAATAATTGTATAAAACGAATGCTAACTTCAAAGAGTAAAATTTACGCGTTTATTTTCGAATGAATATTGAAATAAAATTTTCAAAACTTTTATGTTATTTTAAAAAGTACTCAATTCTGGTCGTTAGAATATCTGTACACAAGTAAAAGTAAAAAAAATTTACAGAAATGTGAAAATAAAGATTGTATAAATTAATTGGCATATATGCGCGTTTTGATGTTTTTAAAAATTGAAAAACGTTTATTAGTTTGTCAAAAGAATCTGAACAGAAAGTTTAAAAATAAATATTAGTTATAATTAAAAATGTAAATATTTGTTTATTCTAGTTTGCTTTATAATTTAATTTTAATTAATTAATGACAAAATAGATTTTGTCAAAATGAGAAGAAATAGGAATTTCGAAAATTATTCTATTTCTACACAGAGAAGAATTTTGTTAGCCAATCAGCAGAATAATAGAAATTTGCCAAGTTCGTCTGATTCTGTAAGATATTTGAACTTCAGTATTTAACATATTTGTTACTCAATTAAATTAATATTCGAAATTTTATTGGATTTGATATGATATAATACTCAAGTCTTTTTGGGGTTATCCAAGTTAATACTTTTATCAACTTTCTATTTAATTAAATAATTTCATAGGTTTTTAGCGGTTCTTTCCAATCTAATTTGTAAAAATAACTTCACATTTATCCAACTAAACACGTTCAATTTTTAGAGGTTTTTTTCAAAATAATTATTTATTGTTAAAATTTTCTATTGGTTAAATTAAATTAAAAATAAAGTGTATATAAAAAGAGTTTTTATAAAAATTATTATAACTTAACAAATTAATGAAATCGATAATTCTAAAAATATTGCACAAATTAACATAAAATATATAAATATAATAGTTTTTATGAATAAGTAAGTAAATATATCATAAGTAAAAAGTTAATTTTTTTAAATTAAAACTGAAACTGAAACTCTAGGGAATTGATTTGCGGGAGTGGAATAATGGTAAATTACTTATAGAATTTTAAAAGGATTTTGCTTCAATAATTTTGATTTTGCTTCATTAATTAACTCTTCATTTTACATGACAAAATTGCAAAAGCTATACTGATGTACAAAATACTGAAATATTACAAGCTCGTATTTTATTATAGGTTAGAAAAAAAGTTTCATAGAAAAAGCTCTATAAATCCAAAAAAATCACAATTTTTTATAACATTAAAAAATTATATGATTTTATATAATTAGTAATCCTAATGATGGAATTTTCAATCCTTTTACATTCGATACTTATTGTAAAAAATATAAATGTTGATTTTAACTATTTTAAAAAATTTGTTGCATTATTTTTTTTTATTACATTATTTATTATATGGGTTTTTAAAAATATATTTCGAAATAAAATAGTGGGTTTAATTTTCGTCATTTTTATTCTTAAATTATTTAAAGTAAATAATTATTTAACAAAAAATTAATCTCTATGTAATT